TTATAGATTGAAAATCTTTCGACAAATGGTAGAAAAATTAATGGATTATAATTATATCAAGTACAATTCATAATATTATTTGTATTTGATTATACAAATTTCATATTTAAAAATTATGTTCTTATAAATGAAGCTTTAAATACAATTCTGGCTTTAACATAATGATAATAAATACCTGAAACAGTATTATTCTTGAAAAATATAACTAGAATTATAAAGCAATAAAGATAAAATAGTATTATTAAAAATACTCATATATCTATCCTCTATTTTTTAATCCTTAAAATAAATGCTTTAACAACAAAGTAGACCCTGGTAAAGGTTAACATTTACCTCCTAGAGTCCACTTAAAATTTCTGTCTTTTCTGATAAAAAGGTAAGGTGATTCATTTCTACACCAACAAGTGCTGTCTCCATGGATGCGTTCAACTGTTATTCATGAAAAGAAAAAGAAACTCTTAATAAACCAGGAAGGGAGGACAACTTCCTCAACCCGATAGAGGTCATAGGCTAATAAATCAGTAATTGCAATAACAAAAATGCCTAAAGCTGAAGTCACACTTCATGACAAAAGATTGCACCACTACCCTTAAGACAGGGAATGAGGTCCATGTGTCCACACTCATGCTTTTTATTACGCTCACCTCATGGGCCTTAGGAGGTGCAGTAGTACAAGAGGAAAAGCAGCAACAAGTGCATCTAGATGGCAGGTTAAATGGAGTTCATCAACAGACAGATATGACTGCAGAGGATCTACCAGACTCTACCAAAAGACAAATGTCATAAAATATCTGAATTCAAAGTTAGTATACAAAAACGCGAAATGATCTGTATAATATTATTAAGCAATTGTAAACAAATTAAAAATTATCATTTCAATAACTGAGATCTAAAACTGAAATAAATTTAACACAACATATACATATATATGGTATAGTTACCACATTTCAGTTTACATATTACTCATCAAAATATTTAAAAGACATAAAGCAATAAATGAATTGAGATAAAATGTTTCAAGTTGTTCCTCTGCAAATTTATCTAAGCTTTAAACAACATGTTTAAGAAATATAAAATAAACTAAATTTAATTAAATATTTGAATTATATGTATGTATTAACATTACAACGATTATTCTAAAAGCAGATTCATGGGTGATTTGTACATTTGCCTTAGGACTGTGGACTTTAAGATAAAAATGCCTATGATATTTAAGAAAATGAAGGAAAATGTTGATAAAGTAAATGAAAAGAATAATTTCAATAAGCAATTAGAATTTATAATGAAAAATGTAGACAACTGATAAATAATATTGAAAATAGAGAGTGCATTGGACATAGCAAAAATTGGTATTTATATCATTAAGGATAAGTGAATAGGATATTCTCAAGCACACAAGACAAGGAATGAACACAAAAGTAGTAAGTAGTATGTAAATGTTTCATGAGGGATAATTTTGTATGATTAGTGTCTTAAAAGAAAATACACAGTGAGTCAAGACTCATTTTAGAACACATTGTGTAATTTCCAAAACTGATCAATATCTCTACCCAATTTGAGAGGTTTAGCGGGCCTCATAAAGTTGAATATCAACAATATAATATCTAGTTACATTACCCAAAGAAAAATATCATACATATATTTTCAATGATGAGATTGAGGGATGATTTGAGGAGAATGATGAAAGTTTCGAAATGCAAAACAATATAAAACACTTTGGCAATCATAAATAAAACTGAGTCACCAAAAATAGTGCCAGGTTGGGTCAGGAGAAGAATCAAAATCATGAGGTCTACTTTTGGGGTATTGATGAAATTACTAACTTAAGGCAGGTGTGATACATAAGGGATCTGTATTAAAGCTTTATATATGTGCCATACAGTGCGGCAGCCATTAGTCACATGTGGCTGTCAAAACAAATGAAACAATCACACTAAATGGACAATTTTTCAATTTATATTCCATGTACAATATGATATATCAAAATACATTCCACTGTCATGTATAACTAAATACAAATAAAAATACAATTTTTCAGTATGAGTAGGCATTTTAACTGGTTGATATCCACATGTGGTGACACTGTATTGTACAACTTGGGTGTGAAAATATCAATTGTCATATCAAGTTTTTTGGAGAGGGCTAATGTATGATAACATCCCAAAATAACTATGCAGTGTGTATCGAATAATTTAACATAGAAATAAATGCAGGGTTTTTTTTTCTCAAGGGTAAATAAAAAATTTACAGATAGCAAATGCTTCTTAGACATAAAGCCATGACATATTGTGAAGCGGTAAAAATGTGGAGTAGGCTCTCTGACCTTGGTGTAATTAAACTAAAAGCCATATATAATCCAACAGTTGATCATTAACATGCAAACAAGAAGGAATCATAAAAGATAATTCAGTTGAAATATATTTGATTTAAAACAGTAAAGAACATTTGATGCACTAAAATGTGTTGGATACATGCAGATCAATTCTTAGGAAGTTTACAACTTTCAAATCAGATGTGCTTCAAATTTAGGAGGCACGAGAGTGACAAATACATACAATAGACAATTAAAAAATTTAAAAGGAAAATATAGAGAGCAAAATCAGTCATATATAATAGAAAATATAAACTAACTCAATCCAATGATAAGATGCTTTCTTGTCAAAATTATAACTCACAAACCTTATATTTTCACAAATGGATGGATGCAATCCACTCAATTCCCTAAAGGGTTACATAACATAGAGAACTTCTGCGTACACAGAACAGAAGAGCACCAGAAGATATTGGTAATTTTCTAAGGCAAATGGCAAAGCTGCTAATTCAACCGTCTGCTTGACAATATTAGGGAAAATGTCAGCTATAATAAGTGAACGATGTAATTTCGTAGAGGAACCCACTATAGTTCTCTTGCTAAATTCCAAAATATAAGCACAGGAAATATTTACAGAGCAAATGAGAAAACTCATATTTCTCTATGCTACCAAGATTCAGCATTTTGCTTTTTTTTTTTTTTTAAAAAAGCATTTTATTCTATGCTTCTAAGCACAAGTTTCAAAAGAAAATTCCAATCTACTTCAACTGGGTTCAGAGAGAGATTGGGGAATTACTTTCTAATCCCATTTATTGAGGAATGTTGCCCTGATTAAAGTCCAAGTGGAAACTACCTTGGGGCTCTTGTGGCTGCCCTCACTGTAAAGCACACCAAGTTAATTGCTTTCTTTATATTATTAGCCCACTCACCAGAATAAAATGTAAGTTAATGGTCTATAAAACTTTGAAACTCTGGCTTTGTACAGAAAAATAAAAATTTGTACTCTTTTTTTGGAGTCATTGGTGGTTTACACATTGACTGAAAAAAATTTGTCTATGTCTGGGAGGACACTGGTATTTCTGAAGGTTTTTACTCTCTTAGTCATTCTATGGACAGTAGGATTTATTGTCACATCCCGAGCAACAGTTTATTCAGGGCTACACAATTCAGTCAAGAAAGGGACCAGGAAAAAGACAAACAGACTCAAAAGTGGGAAAATGCTAGGTCTCCGTGGTTGACTACAACCTTGGTAGGGAGGTAGTAGCACACAACAAGCTCAGCATATTTATTATATATGTATAAACATCAAAAGAAATTATTGTGAGAAAGTTTCTTCAAAGTAAGCAAAACCAAGGTCTTGAGTATAAGCAGCCCAATTATACCCATAACTTTCTACCCCCCAGCAGCTGGTGTCTAAGGTCAAGAACTGAATAGCTCTGTGGTTGCGCATACCCTTCTATAGAACAGGTTGTCACTATAGCAATTGGGCACTCTCAAATCCATGCCTTCACACCAAGAGTTCCCAAGTAGCGGTTCCTGACAAAATTTTCCATCCATATATTTTAGAGGTGATTTCTAACTGACCCAATTAATTTGACAGGTCTGACACAAGTACTGAAAAGATTTTCCTGAGAGTATTTCTGAGCAGTTCAAACTAAAGAGACATGGTTCATGTTACTGAAAAAAGATCCTTTAAATATAAGGCTTCTGTGAGTGCATTCTGGTGGAATATGATTGGTCCTTATAAACATGGGAGATGAGGAAATCCTTGCCTGTTGATCTCTGACTTGGGTACACAAAATTGGGTAGACTTATCATGCCAAACTTCTTAAGATCTTTACTTACTCATTCCTTCAATCAAAAAGGACTAAAGAACTCAGAACTAAGTAGGAAAATTAAAATAAGTTAGTGTTTGTTGCATATATATGCATCTCTCTCTCTCTCTCTCTCTCTCTCTCTCTCTCTCTCTCTCTCTCTCTCTCATTCATTGCCTATTTGGGGCAATTTTCTTAGTTTGGTTTGGTGTTTCATTTTGTTGGTATATTTCATATATTATAAAGTCTATAAGATTCATTAAATCTGATGAATCATTAGGTGACATGATACATATAAATTAAATCTTCACTTAATGAACACCATATGAAAGACTAGGTTCCATAGGCTCATACTTTCAATTATTTCAATAAATACATTTTTTTTCTAAACATTCTGATTGCAACTGGTTACTAAATCTGCTTAAAATATGCTAAATGATCATTCTTTCACTGTTGGACAAGGTAAAATTTACTACTAGTAATCTCTCTAAATATATGCAATTATAAATTTTGTAAATAGTGTATCTTTCAATATGTAAAAGAATATTAATGATGATGTAGCAAAGAATTCTTAAGTATCTACTCAATTTTCCAACTATAAATGCTTTCAGAGAAATACATTGTATATTTCAACTGGAGTTATTTTCCTCTTTTCAGACAAGCTAGAGAAAGATTTTTGATCTTTTCAAAACATCTTCAGTTGTCACAAAATGAGACAAAATGAGTAGTGAAGGCAATAACCTAGATTCTCCTAGCAAAAAACTTAATGATTATCCCCACATTAAAGGAGATGGAAGATTTCTATAAAAGCTCTTCTTTTGTTGGCAAACAAATCATAAATTAAAACTATTAAATCAACAAATTTTTTGTTTCAGATAATGCATACTTTGGGGATTCCTCCCAGGGTTCTGTGAGAACTTCACATCATATCTTTTTGCAAAGAGTCTGCTATCTGCTCAGCATCATCCTTTGTTCCACCAAGGGCCTTGATATAATTTCTGAAATGTTCTTATTGGAGTTTTTAAAACTTACTTTTAGAATATCTGACATTCATAATAGCAAAGCTTGTTGTCGTGTTTAATTCTGGACCCAGAAGCTCTATAATCAGGAAATATGTATTGCTCACGATGAAAGTCTTCCTTAAACTTAACTTTAAAATAGATTTCTAGAACATGAATGTGATTTTGTTCTTTAGGCATATCATATTTTAATCTAAATTTCCCTTCTTTATTTGGCACACATAAAATATTTGTGCTAAAACTCTTGTTTTGTAGTCACATAACATTATCTCTCATAACTTTTTTCCCAAAGATTAAGCTTATTTATTTACCTGTTATTTTATCCAGCTGGTCAGGGACTTTGAATGAATTAGTATTTCTTTCTCTTCAAAATCTAATGGTATGTACTTTTTTAAAAAAAGATGATTAATAATCATTTTAAAATAAATAAATTGTGAATTACAGCATGAACTATTTGGCAAGATGTATTTTCTTATATTTCAAACTCCAAACATCTCTTGATTATATTTTTAAACATAATTACATAAAAAAACCCTTTAAGTGCTTGATCTTAATTTAGAAAAAACAAATTTAATAAAAAATAATTTGGGAGTCATCACTATAGATACACAGTCAACCCAGCTGCTATATTTATGTATACACACACACACAACATATGTATGTATATATACATATATACTTCCATATACACACATCTCAAGTGCTATCTAAAATGCATAAAATAGACATTATATACATAAATATATATATAAATATATGTATACATATATGTATATAAAACATATATCTGTATTAACAAATATAGGTATATGGATGAACAAGTAGCTCTTCATTAGTGTTTGCCTAACATTTTTTCCCATGCCTAATTTTAGCCAATACAAAAATGTCAAGGTGTCATGTTGTGGCTCAGTAGTAAAGCACTTCCCTAGCACCCTAGCATATGTGAAGCATTGGGTTCAATTCTCAGCACTGCATATAAATAAATAAAATAAAGGTCTATTGGCAACTAATAAATATTAAAAGAGAAAATATTTTTCAAAATAATGTCAAGCTCAACAAAAATATTCAGGTATGTCCACTAT